TTGAACTTAACCCAGCCAGTCTTGATCACCATTCCAATTTTAGCCCTAGTGCCACTATCTGACAGAGCCCTTTCCTGATACCCTCCACCCTCAGGCGCTCAGACTCCTGTTACCGTCCCACACAGATCCCTGAACCTCTGGGAATCACTAGGCTCAAGGGCACTGCCGTTGCTGCCAGACTGAGTCACCAGCAGCCAGGCACTGCAGCCCAGACTGTTTCCTCCTCTGTACATGGTGATAGGATCTGGCCCCTGTGGCTAGATTAATGTGTTAGGATGGGCACAGTGGCTCAGATCAGGGTTTCTGCATGGTCCTTTGGTGTGTGGTAGGTGACATATGGAGCTAAAATTCCTTCTGGGAGGTGCAAATGATGCCCAGCCCCCTCTTCCCTGGTCCCTACAACAAACCAAACTGCAGTCTGGAAAACCAGTGAGTTTATTGGTCTTACTTACAGAGCAGTGGGTGAGGGTTTACTTTCAGGAGTGTGGGTGCTCCCCACTAAGGCCACACCAGAAAGTCTCCATCCAGGCGTGGATCCTGACTTCCCCGCAGCTGCACAAAATGACAAGAGACACTCCCCATGGCTTCCTCAGTCTATATACCCTCAGCCCCTCCCCCTCGGGCTGAGTGGTTGGTTGGGAGGTGAGACTGACACTCCCTGCCCCCTCCTTTCTTGCAGAGTGTTACAGTTAGCAGCCTAGCTGTGATGATTCCAAGCAAGGGGTGCAACCAAGCTTGGGAAGATGGCATCTGTCCATGTCTATCTGTTGGAGGACAGTGCTATGCAACAACATAGTATCCCTATGTGCTATTCAGAGCACTGGGAGCCGGGTACAGTGGGTGACTCATGCCGGTAAGCATAGCATTCAGAAGGATAAGGCAGGATGATGATCCTGGGATCAGGACCAGCCTGGGAACTTAGCAAAATCAAAACCAAAAAGGGCTTGTGGGTGTAGCTGAGTGGTAGATCACTTGCTTAACATGTGTGAGGCCCTTGGTTCTGTGCCCTCCACTGAAAAAGAAAATAAAGAGTGGGGAGCTGGGATGGGCTAAGAAATAGGCCCCCATGGGCATCTGGTCCTACTCCCCCAAACCCAAAGGTGTCTCATTTCCAAGCAGGGCCTCTTGGATGTTGAGATGAGGGTTGTCCCTGGCATCCCCAGACAGGCACTGAAGCATCTCGAGAATCCTTACGTAAGAGAGACAGAGTTGACCTTGGGAAAGATGCTCTCCCTGAGCCAAGGGTGCTAGTGCAAACTGTCACACCAATATCCGGAAGCTGAGGCAGGAGGAGCCGTGGTCACTGCATCTTTAAGGTCAGCATGGGTTACAGAATAAGACCCTGTTTAAAAAAAAAGAAACATACTGACCTTGAAGATTTTTATTTTATGTGTGAGTACCTGCATGTATGTGTGTCACGTTTGTAGAGTGCCCTCAGAAGTCAGAGCGTTAGATCCCCGGAACTAGGGTTACAGGCCTCCAGGCAGTTGTGAGCCCTCATGTGGGTGCTGGGAACTGAACCCGGGTCCTCTGCAAGAGCAGCCAGGGCTCTTAACCACTGAGCCATCTCTTCAGCCCCAAGAAATAGATTCTTAGGAGGTGGAGACAGGAAGGTTGCCCGGAGTTTGCAATGTGAGTGGAAGTTAGTGGTCCTCTCCTTCCACCTGTGGGCTCTGGGGATCCAACTCAGGTCATCAGGCTCAGGGGCAAAAGCCTTTACCCTCTGAGCCATCTCTCTAGCTCTACCTAGTGAAGTCTAAACTAGCCTAGGGTGCAAAGTTAGACCCTGTCGAGGTGGCTTGGTGGGTAAAGGCGCTTGCTGTGCGAGCCTTCAACCTGAGTCGTTCCATCCTGGGAATCCACATAAAGGAAAAAGACAAGACTCTAGAGTTGTCCACTGATCCCCACATTATACCATGGTACTTGCACATGCACACACATGTGTGCATGTACACAGTTTTTTTTCTTATTAAAAAATTTATATTTATGTTTTGCTTGCATGTATGTAAGTGCACCCATGTGTACAATGCCTGCAGAGGCCAAAAGAGGGCATTGGATCCCCTGTAACTGGAATTACAGACTGTTGCTAGCCACTGTGTGGATACTGGGAACCATAGGAACCACTGAGCCATCTCTCCAGCCCCCATATGGTGTGTGTGTGTGTGTGTGTGTGTGTGTGTGTGTGTGTGTGTATTTGAGACAGGGTCTCATACATAGCCCTTACTGACCTGGAAATCACTATGTAGACCAGGCTGGCCTCCAACTCACAGAGATCCACCTGCCTCTGCCTACTAAGTCCTGGGATTAAAGGTCTGTGCCACCACACTCAGCAATAATACCTTTTAAATTTTTTAATTGATTTTATGTGTATGAATGCTTGCCTGCATGTATATTAAGTGCACCCATGTCAGGCAATGCCCGCAGAGGTCAGAAGAGGACATCAGATCCCCTGGAACTGGAGTTATGGATAGTTGTGAGCCGCCATGTGGGTGCTGGGAATTGAACCCAGGTCCTCTGCAAGAGCAGCCAGTGCTCTTAACCACTGAGCCAGTCCTCTAGCCCAATAACCAACTTTTTAACAGTTAAATTTCAGGCATTTGTCTTTAAAGTTTAACACAATGTCATATTTTTTACTGTCTTTCAGCCATGCATCCAAGAATCCTATATTTCTCTTATTTTAAAATTTCTTTTTAAATCAGATTTTTAAAAAGAGAAAATTTAAATTAAATAAATTCTCTCCTGGGCCTCTAGAGGGAGCACGTCTCCCACATCCTGAATTCAGCTCCTGAAGCTGTGTGTGGACTTCTGTCCCCCAGAGCCTGGAGGCAGTCTGTGAAGAGGCAGCCTGTGGATTTTGACTTTGCCAGCTGCCCTCCTCACACAGTGCAGGATCCTGGAATCCAGTGCAGGCCAGACTAGTAGTAGTACTTGGTGTAACCCAGGTGTGTGGGGCGGAGGGTTGTGAGGAGTGAGTGGAGCTTGTTCAGTCTGTCGCCACTGAGAGGCTTTGAATGCTGTTTACTGGTTTTCACATTGGTCCGGAGCACACACAAGTTGTGAAAGCCACATACAGGACTGGCATTTAAAAAGCCTGGCAAGGGGCTGGAGAGATGGCTCAGCCACTAGGAGCACTTGCTGATCTTGCAGAGGACCTGGAGTTTGATTCCCAGCACCCGCAGTATGGCTCACAACCATCTGTAATCCAAGCCCCAGGTGATCTGACATGGTCTTCTGGCCTCTGCAGACAATGTACCCACATGTACATATACCCACCTCAACCACACATACACTTAAACATAAATCTTTTTAAAATGGAAAAAAAAAAAAAAAAGGATGGGAAAATGTCAGGGTGTAATATACACAGTAGGGTATTGTGAATCTCCATATTCAGGGAATTTATATTCAGTTGTGTGCCTGGATGGTTATTTGTTTGCTTTCTTGTTTGAGATGGTCTTGCTACATAGCCTGTCCCCAGGCTGGTGATCCTCGTGCCTCACACTCCCCAGTACCAGGATTGCAGATGTAAGTATGCCTGGCTGACTGGATGTATTTTTTAAAAATTATGTGTATGTATGTTTGTATGTACACATGAGTGCAGTGCCCACTGAGGCCAGAAGAGGGCGTCAGATTCCTTGGATCTGGAGTTGTAGGTAGTTGTGATCTTCCCTATGTGGGTGCTGGGAACTGAACTTGGGTCCTCTTCAAAAGCAGCAAGTCCTCTTAACCACTGAGCCATCTCTCCAGTCCTGATGTATCATTTTTAATTTAATATTTTTATTGAATTTTTGCCATTTTCATACAATATGGTTTGATGGTATTTAGATCCCCTCCCCAGTCTGAACCTCCCCTGCATTTCCACATGCCCAATTTATATAATACGGCCTACAGAGTCTGGGTTGCGTCCCCAAATGTCCTTCAGTGTGAGTCCACCCACTGGGCCCACTAAGAGTCCCAGCCCTGTAAGACACTATCTCTTCCTGCCCTCCCAGCAACCATCAGTTGACAAAAGTTCCTTAGGTTGGGTTGGAATTTCTTAACCATTTCCCCGTGTCTGTGGGATTTTCTCTGGTTTAAACTTGCATAGGGCTTGAGCATACTGTCACCATTAATGTGAGCTGAAATGACTAACCAGCCAGCTGTCTGGAACTCTGCTTCCCTGTGGTCGTCCACCACCTCTGGCTCTTACAATCTTTCTGCCCCCTCTTCTGCAATGATCCCTGATCCTTGAGAGGTTTAAATAGCTGTCCTATTCAGGGTTAGACATTCTGCGGCCTCGCGTTCTCTGCACATTGGCCAGTTGTGGGTGTCTGTGTTACTCACCAGCTGCTACATAAGGAAACTTCTCTGGTGAGAGTTTAAGAGATGCATTCATCCTATGTATAGAGGTTGTATTGAAGATGTGTCACTTAGGGCTAAGCATCTCAGACACTTTTCTCTGTGTTTGACCAGTTCTGTAATAGTCTTTTGCAAAAAGAAGCTTCTTTGATGAGTGGTGAGAGGTACAATTGTTTGTACACATGAGGATGCATATTTAGAATAAAGAAATTACATTGGTCTAGGGACATGGCAAAAGTAGGTTTTTCTCTGGGATCTATCACCTCTCCAACCATGTGTATTTGGTTAGGATTATTTTCATGCTTATCTCCCCAGCACTGATATGTTTCTGATACACTTGGGCATGTCATGAGAGGCATTTGGGCTAAAGCAATCAGAACTTTTTGAGAAGCCCCCCCCTGGGAGTAAAGACAGAGTCAGGAGTCAGGACAGCCATGTTAAACATTCCTGGTGCTTACGAAGTTATGAATGATTGATGAGAGGATGGCTGGGTATCACCTGTGTATTCTAAGTGGCTATGGGGGTTGGAAACACATGACCCTAGACAAGAAGGTCCTGCCTCTGTGTGGGCCACTGCTGTCATCATCTGGTCTGTGCAAGGCTAAGCACCAAGCCTTGGTCTTAACCAACCCCGTGACCCTGTGCCCTGCCTGTCTGCCACCCAGATCCGGGTAAAGCCTGACAAGTCCGGAGTGGTCACAGATGGTGTGAAACACTCCATGAACCCCTTCTGTGAGATTGCTGTGGAGGAGGCTGTGAGACTGAAGGAGAAGAAGCTGGTGAAGGAGATCATCGCTGTGAGCTGTGGCCCCTCGCAGTGCCAGGTAATCAGGGGCCTTGAGTGTGAGGGTGGACGGCCTGGTCCAGAGCCCTGTCTGAAGGAGGAGGCTAAGGCCACAGCACCCATGTCTGAGGGAGGAGGCTAAGGCCACGGCACCCCTGTCTGAGGGAGGAGGCTAAGGCCACAGCACCCATGTCTGAGAGAGGAGGCTAAGGCCACGGCATCCCTGTCTGAGGGAGGAGGCTAAGGCCACAGCACCCATGTCTAAGGGAGGAGGCTAAGGCCACGGCACCCATGTCTGAGAGAGGAGGCTAAGGCCACGGCACCCCTGTCTGAGGGAGGAGGCTAAGGCCACGGCACCCATGTCTGAGGGAGGAGGCTAAGGCCACGGTACCCCTGTCTGAGGGAGGAGGCTAAGGCCACGGCACCCATGTCTGAGGGAGGAGGCTAAGGCCACGGCACCCCTGTCTGAGGGAGGAGAGCTTGTATTAGTTGTCCTGTTGCTGTGATGCAACGCTGTGACCCAGGCCACTTAAAAAAGGAAGAGTTCAGCCGGGTGTGGTGGCGGATCTCTGTGAGTTCAAGGCTAGCCTGGTCTACATAGTGAGTTCCAGGAAAGCTGGAGCTATAGGGAGACCCTGTCTCAAAAAGACCAAAAAAAAAAGGAAGAGCTCATCTGCCTTACGGTTCCAGAAGGATGAGTCCATCATGGCCTGGGAGGCACAGCGACAGAGGTGGCTGGAGCAGAGAGCTAAATGCTCATATCTTCAGCAGGCACAGGAAGGTGAGAGAGATAAATGGGGCAAGACCAAAGTCCTCCTCCCCCCAGTAACATGTTTCCCCTATCAAGGCTGTACTTCCTAATCCTGCACAAACAGTACCACCAACTGGGTCCAAGTGTTCAAATATTTGGAGCTTATCAGGGACATTTATTCAAACCATTACAGATCTGGAGTCTGGGCTCAGGATCTGAAGGAAGAAGCTAAGACCTTAACCCCTGGGTCTGAGGGAGAAGGCTGGGGTCTGGACCCCTGGGTCTGAGGGAGGAGGCTGGGGTCTGGACCCCTGGGTCTGAAGGTAGAGGTTTGGGTCTGGACCCCTGGGTCTGAGGGAGGAGGGCTGGGGTCTGGACCCCTGGGTCTGAAGGTAGAGGTTTGGGTCTGGACCCCTGGGTCTGAGGGTGGAGGCTGGGGTCTGGACCCCTGGGTCTAAGGGAGAAGGGCTGGGGTCTGGACCCCTGGGTCTGAGGGAAGAGAGCTGGGGTCTGGACCCCTGGGTCTGAGTGTGGAGGCCGGGGTCTGGATCCCTGGGTCTGAGGGAGGAGGCTGGGTCTGGAGAGGGCTGGGGCTTAGACTCCTGGGTCTGAGGCAGGAGGGCTGACTGAAGTCTGGATCCCTGGGTCTGAGGGAGGAGGGTAGAGTCTGAATTCGGTCTGAGGGAGGAGGGCTGACTAAGGTCCAGACTCCTGGGTCTGAGAGAGGAGATGGGTCTGGACCCCTAGTTTTGAGGGAGGAGGATAGAGTCTGGGCTGTTTGGTCCTTCCCATGATAGAAGTCTAGCTAACCACTCTCTTCTACAGGAGACCATCCGTACCGCTCTGGCCATGGGTGCAGACCGGGGCATCCACGTGGAGGTGCCCGCAGCACAGGCAGAAAGCTTGGGTCCCCTGCAAGTGGCTCGGGTCCTGGCCAAGCTGGCTGAGAAGGAGAAGGTGGACCTCTTGCTCCTTGGCAAGCAGGTTGGTGCATCAGTCCCTCCCTCGCCTGCCCCTTGCCCTGCTCAGGATGAGTGTGAGGTAACACTTGCGGTAGGCTCAGGCCCAGGTGTTCACACGGGCCGGCCAAGCAGCACAGGTCTCCCCCCGTCCCACCCCCACCCCTCTGACGGGGCATGAGCCAGCAACACAGGCCACTGTGTGTGTCAGAAAGATGCTCTGAGGTCCCCTTGGCCCAGACTGAAGCCCACCAGAATGTGGGTTTGGCCACATTGGTGAAACTGATCTACACCCAAGACCAGGGGCAGAGAGGAGCATGTAGCAGGTTAAGACCCATCTGTCTGTTTTGGTAGCACAGTGGGGCTGTGCTTTGGGCAGGGGCAGGAATTACAGGATAAGGAAGAGTCCATGACACTCAGTGTGTAGGAAGGGCCAGGGAGACATCGGAGCCATGGGTGTCAACTCCAGAAACTGGCCTGGCTTGAAAGAGTCGTGAGAGTGTCTGTCATGGGGCACTGGGGAGCCATGGTAGTGTGTGAGCAGGAGTGGGAACAGGATTTACCCTCTTCGAGGGATTAGAGAGAGTGGAGGAGGTCGGCCAGGCTGAGGATTGGGCTGCACTGGAGCTCAGAGGCAGGGATGCTGTTGATTCATCTGTTGCCTCAGGAAACTCAGTGCTCCCCTACCCCCCACCCCCCATCCCCCGCCCAATTCAGGCGGCTTTGTGGTCTGACCTGAAGAGGGCCGTGTGTGGCCTGGGAAAGAGCCACAGACAGGGGAGGAAAGAGAGGAAGGGAGTTAGGGATGGATCTGAAAAAGACGGAGATAGCAGGATTCAGGAGGTTGAAGAGACAAGCTGAGGTCCCAAGTATGAGGGGAGGGACTCCAGAACCACCCACAGTGGGCTGGGCCCTCCCACACCACTCAACCATCAAGAAAATGCCTCACAGTCATGGCCACAGGCTAATCTGATAGAGAAAATTCCCCAGTTGAGATTACCCCTTCCCAGGTGTGTTCAGTTGACAATCCAGCCTCAACAGGGCAAAGGGGGCCTGTGGAGGGATGACTCCGTATGCCCCGGAGAAGTGGCTGTTTATTCCCACAGTCCCAGCAAGATCATTCTAGACCAGAAATCAGCAAAGTGTGACTTCTGCCAGGCTTTGTTTTGCCAATCAAGTTTTATTGGCACACCCCCACACACTCATTTACGTCTCACCTGTGACTCTTGTGAGACGGTCCAGTTGTGGTCCAGCCTGAGTGGCTTGCTAAGCTACAGTATTTATTTCCTGGCCGCTGTTCTAGAAGGACGTCTGGGCGGTTCTGAGGCACAACCGCCAGCTGTTGTGCTGAGCAGTCTTCTCTTCCCACCCCAGGCCATCGATGATGACTGTAACCAGACGGGACAGATGACAGCTGGACTTCTGGACTGGCCACAGGTGAGGCTGGGGTGTGGGGGCAGCTGACCTCCCCCTCAAGCTCAGCTCTGCTGCAGGACCTTCACACCTCTGCCTTGGGTCTCCGCTCAGATAGCAGCTGCTCTGAAGTGCCCTTCCTGCCCCCACTGGAGGAAACATTGTTCTACACAGACTTAAAATTTGTTGCCTAGTTACTGTACCGATTATCAGGGGGTTTTACAACAGCTTTCCTGAATTATCAGTGACCTACAGTAAGCCGTGCACATTTAAAGTATGTGATTTGGCTGACTGTGGGACTCGGGAGACAGAGAGAGGTGATCTCTGTAAGATTGAGGCCAGCCTGGGCTATATAGTTAGTTCCAGACCAGCTGAAGCTACAGAGAGACTCTGTCTCAAATAAGAACAAAAAGAAAAATGTGTAATTTGCAGTGAGAGACCCTGTGCTAAAAAATAAGATGGATGGGCTAGAGAGATGACTCAGCACTTAAGAGCACTTACTGTTCTTCCAGAGAACCCAGGTTTGGGTCCCAGCACCCACGAGGCAGCAAACACCTGCCCTTAACTCCACTTCCAAGGGACCCAATGCCCTCTTCTGGCCTCCGTGGGCACCAGGTATGCACATGTGCACTTACATACATGCAGGCAAAACACTCATACACATACGCATAAAATAAAAATAAATGAAATCTTGTGAGGCATGGTAGCACATGCCTTTAATCCCAGCACTCGGGAGGCAGAGGCAGGCGGATCCAATCAGCCTGGTCTACGTAACAAATTCTAGGCCAGCTGGAGCCACAAGGAGACTGTGTCTCAAAAAAATCTGAATAAGGAAAGAAAAGGGGAAGGGGAAGGGGAAGGGAAGGGGAAAGGAAGGGGAAAGGAAAGGAAATCTTAAAAAAAAAAAAATGGAGGGCCAATGAGATGGCTTAGTGGTGCTTGCTGCCAAACCTGCTGACCTGAGTTTGATCCTTAGGACCCACCTACTAGCTCTCACTTATCATCCCAGTATTGGGGAGACTGAGGCAGAAAGATTACCACGTGTTTGTTTTTAAGATTTATTATTTACTTATTTTTGGTTATTGGAAACAGGGTCTCCCTGGAGTCCCAGCTGGCCTAGATCTTACTGTGTAGACCTAGCTGGAATCAGTCTCACAAGCTGGAATCAGTCTCCAGAGTGATGGAATTAAAGGACTTCACCACCACGCCCAGCAGTTTATTTCACTTTTAATTATGTGTATGTGTGTCTATGTGTGTATGTGCACTTGTGGGTGTACTTCCCACAGAGGCCAGAAAGGGCATCAGATCCCCCTGCAGCTGGAGTTACAGGTGGTTGTGAGCCACCTGACATGGGTGCTGGGAATTGAACTCTGGTCCTCTGCAACTCTTAACCACCCAGCCATCCCCTCAGCCTCGCTGCCACGTGTTTGAACCAGGATGTAAAGACAGGGCCCCTCTGTTCCTGCTGTACCCCCTCCTGACTTTGCATCTCACAGGACTCTGTCTTTTACTTTTTCACTGGTGTGTGTCAGCAATGGTGCCCAGGGGCCTGCTCAGTGCCCATTTTGATCTAACTTTGCTCATTTTCCTCCTGTGCTGTCCCCCCACAGGGCACATTTGCCTCCCAGGTGACACTGGAGGGGGACAAGGTGAAAGTTGAACGGGAGATTGACGGGGGCCTGGAGACCATACGTCTGAAGCTCCCGGCTGTGGTGACCGCGGACCTGAGGCTCAACGAGCCCCGCTATGCCACACTGCCCAACATCATGGTGAGTGCTTGGTGGTGGGTCACTGGGGCCTGGCTTGGCAAGTATGCTGCAGGCCTGGTCCCTCTTCAGTGGTTGGACTGCCTAAGACAAGGGCCCAAACGACAGGGCATCCAAGGAGGCTGTCACCTGGCAGGGACAGCGGAGGGTTGGCTGGGTCACCTCTGTCGGCTGTGAGTTCGTAGGCTGATGTAGCACCAGGGGAAACCTGTGGAGCATCACAGCCAGGAGAAAGTGCTGAGCCAGTGGGAGCTCAGTGGATAATGATGGACAGATAAGACAGTTTAGTCACCTTGGCTCGTGAGGGAAGGCCCCTGGGTCATTTTTGCTACTCAGAAGTAATCACTGTGGGGGCCAAGAACGAGGGAGGGAGCTAAGGGCTCATGATTAACAGGAGTTCCCTAATCATCTCAGACAGAGGGATGGGTTCCTTGGGACAGCTCAGCCAGTGGGGAGGGTTTGGTGGGTCAGCTTGGCCAGTGGGAAGGGGTAATTGGGTGAGCTCAACCAGTGGTAAGGGTTTAGTGGGTTGTTGACTCAGCCAGTGGGGAGAGTATGGTAGTTGGCTGGACCAGTGGGGAGGGTTCAGTGGTCAGCTGGGCCAGTGAGGAGTTTGGGGGTTCAGCTTTTAGTCCACAGAGTCACTGTAGCTGAAAGGACAGTATGTACTCCCTTGCGGTCAGGCCCTTCACGGTCTCACTGAGGGAGATCTTGTACCGTAGTTGAGCCTCCTAGACATCCCAGCCATCAGACGTGGACCACGTCAGGTGTGGGCCCTTGAGAAGCCACAGTGCTGGCTAGCAGGGAGGTCCCAAGGCTTTCGGGCAATAGGGATGGTTCTGTAGATACCCCATCTACCGGGAAGAACCTGGGCTGGGGCTGGGGCTTCGCAGCCTGCCCCAACCCAAACCACAGCTTCCTGTGTACAGAAAGCCAAGAAGAAAAAGATCGACGTGATCAAAGCTGGAGACCTGGGCGTGGACCTGACCTCCAAAGTGTCTGTGGTCAGTGTGGAGGACCCCCCTCAGCGCTTGGCCGGTGTTAAGGTGGAGACCACAGAGGACCTGGTGGCCAAGCTTAGGGAAGTGGGGCGGATCTAACCCCCCGCCGGAAACTGCAATAAAACTGACTTTCCAGCCCGTGGCTCTGTCACCTCATTCCACGGAAGTCCACTGTTTGATTCATTCACCAGACATTTACCTAAATCTCCTGTGTGCCAAGCCCCATGCAGGGCGAGACTGGGGAGGCTGTGAGTCACATCCCTGCCATTGAATCCACTGCGGACGCTGGCAGAGGTGGCAGTATGCACAGTGATGAGGGCTGGGTGCAGAGGCACACTGGTCCTTGGGAACTGAGACTGGTGACTAACCCGGCTGAGGGGCTCAGAGAGGTGACAACCCAGGTGAGTGTTGGAGAGGAGGGTTTCCTGAAGTCTCCAGGTGGCCAGGTCCTTGCTAAGACTTGTGCCCCCAGGAATGCAGAGCATTAAATCCTTGAGAGCTGCAAATGTAGCCCAGTGACATAGTACTTGCCTAGCATCCACAAGGCCCTGGGGATCCGATGCCCTCTTCTGACCTCCACAGGCATTGCATGACACAGGTGCACTTACATACATGCAGGCAAAACATACACAAAAAATAAAAATGAAGGAAATTTTTAGAAAACCTTTAATGTTATGACTGTTTTGCCTGCATGTATGTAAGTGCACCAAGTGCATGCCTGCTGCCCATGGAGGCCAGAAGAGGGTGTTGGATCCCCTGGAACTGAGTTATGGATCCTTGTGAGTCACCATATGGATGCTGGGACTAGAACCCAGGTCCTCTGCAGGAGCAGCCAGCTTCCTTAACAGCTGAGCTACCTTTCCAGCCCCAAGATACAATGTATCCTGATCATGGCTACATTCCTTTACCGTCCACCCCCACATTTATTTCCTCTTTTTATTTATTTCTATTTTGTCATCCACTGAGTCCAATTGGGTGCTGGAATGTGGGCTGATTTTGGCCTGATCTTGTGCAGGTAACCACAGCTGCCATGGGTTTGAGTCAAAAGTCAGGTCATGTCCAGCATTTCACAGCTCTCCTTCCCATTGTCAGCTTTTATGTTACATTCTTTCTGTCCCCTCTTCCATGATGTTCTCTGAGTCTTAGCGAGAGGGAGGGAGTGAGGGGGGGAGAGAGAGAGAGAGAGAGAGAGAGGGAGGGAGGGAGGGAGAGAGAGAGAGAGAGATTGGCCCCATTTAGCACTGAGCACTCACCAGTCACGTATTCTCAACACTTTGAGTAGTTTTGAGGCCACATTGCCCCCCCCCCCCAGTGCCGGAGAGGCTTCTCTGACCAGGGTTGACAGCAACACTGATCTATGCTAACCCCTTTTTTTGAGTCAGGGTCTGTCCATGTAGGCCGGGCTTGGTTTGAATTCAAGGTCCTCCTGTCTCAGCCTCCTAAAATGCTGGGGTTACCAGTGTGTACCCCACCATGTCTGGCAGGTTGACGCTCTTAACCCAAGCTGATGGTTGCCTGCAGCCTCAGACAAAGCTGTGGACTAGGGGCCCTGGTTCCTCTCCAGAGAATTGCTCCACAGGCCACTCAGCATGGCAGTTGTGTTTTAAGGAGTATTTTACCATACAGGAAGGTGGAATGCAGCCTAGAAACAAACCCCGGGTCATTTCCACTGTTTGTTTTTGGTAGAGCCCTCACAGAGCCTACTAGATCCAGGAAAGGAACAGAAACCCCACTTTCCTTAATCATTTGTTTTTCTTCATCATCATCATCATTTTTTGTTATTATCATTGAGACAGGATCTTAGTATAGGCCCAGGCTGGCCTGGAAGTTCCTATGTAGGTCATGCTTGTCTTGATCTCACGATCCTCCTCCCTCTGGCTCCTGACTGCTGAGATTTCAGGTGTGTTGCTACCAGGACAGCTCCCTGTATGTGTCTGGGGTGGTGAGAATTGAACCCAGAGCCTCACACACGCTCACACCCCAGCACTTCACTGGGACTCTAGGCAGGGGCTCCACCACTGAGCCACACCCCAGCCCCTCACTGGGGGATCCTAGGCAGGGGCTCCACCACTGAGCCACACCCCAGCCCCTCACTGGGGGGTCCTAGGCAGGAGCTCCACCGCTGAGTCACACCCCAGCCCCTCACTGGGGGACCCTAGGCAGGGGTTCTACCACTGAGCCACACCCCAGCCCCTCACTGGGGGACTCTAGGCAGGGGCTCCACCACTGAGCCACACCCCAGCCCCTCACTGGGGGATCCTAGGCAGGAGCTCCACCGCTGAGCCACACCCCAGCCCCTCACTGGGGGACCCTAGGCAGGGGCTCCACCACTGATCCACACCCCAGCCCCTCACTGGGGGACTCTAGGCAAGGGCTCCACCACTGAGCCACACCCCAGCCCCTCACTGGGGTACTCTAGGCAGGAGTTCCACCGCTGAGCCACGCCCCAGCCAGCTTTATTTTGTGTCTCATTAACTTGCCCAGCCTGGCCTTGAACTCACTTTGTAGCCCAGACAGGCCTTGAACTCGCAATCTTACCTCTGCCTCTCAAGTGCTGAATCTCAGGTCTGAAGCACCAGGCCCAGCTCCTCATGGAATTCACAAAGATTAACATGGTTAGCACCGTTAGCGCTAACCTGGCACACAGAAAACACTCAATATAGTCTGTGATTCACAGTGATCAGCACTGTGAGCACTGTATCACGTCTTAGAAGTTTGAAGCTGAGGAGAAGCCGGCAGCCTACCCGGGGTAGTGAGAAAAGCTTTCTGAAGGAGTGCTCTGACCAGCTTGGACCCTCTTCCTGGCTGTACAGCCTCTTGCAGGATCCCTGGCCTCTGTGTCATCACAGTCTCCTGGCCTACGAAATGAAGATAAACACACCCTGCTCAGAGAGCACTTAGAAAGGATCAGCCCAATAAACTCTAGGAAGAATTCAGGGTAGTTCCTGGCGCAACGTAAGTAGTCATTATTATTATGGCTCTTAATAAGTTGCAACCTGAAGGACCAGTTGTGGGCCTGCCAGATTGGAGGGGGTGTAAACATTCCAGCTAGAGGAAAGAGCCCTGGCAGAGGCCAAAATGCCCCCGGAAGAGCAGCGTGTTCAGAAGGGGCTAGAGTGCGGAGGACTGGGTGGGTCTACTAAGGATGCCTGTAGAGGATGTGGGAGAGCCAGGCAGGGCTGTGACAGGAGAGGAGGGTCAGCAGGACTTTGGGGAGGACCAAAGGGAGGAGGCTGCAGGAAGGAGGTGAGGGCAAGTGAAGAGGGTGGAGGCCTGCACAGTGGGCACCAAAAGGAGGAAATCAGGAGGTCCAGGTGGAACTCAGAGATTGACAGCATGGCCAGGGCAGGAGTTGAAGGGAAGACTTCCCTGCATCTTCGTAGATGGAGCCATTCTGGAGGTGGAGAATGGGAAGGAAGGATAGATCCAAGGAAAGATGCTGAGTTTGGCAGGTGTTTGACATGGAAATCACACTCTGGGTCAGGAGATGGCCTGGAGGGAGATGGCAACTTGAGACTTTGTACTGAGGACCATAGGGAGCCATGGAAAGATCTGGAGACAGGGGGCAGGGTCAGAGAGGAGGCTTCTGGTAAGACGGAATGGGAAGCCAGAAGCCTGGAAATCAGGAAACCTGAGCCCAGGCAGGTACCTCATCTCAAGCTCCTACAGGAAGTCTGGCTTGGCCACCACTGGCTGGCTACTGAGTTTCCAGCACAGACTCCACCTTCCCCTGAGGGTGAGGCGTGCGGATCAGCCTGGGCCTCTCCATACACTGATGGCTGATGAAGACAAGCCACCAGATCATACCAGGGGACCCTGGCACCTCCCGTGGTCTGCCTCCCTTCCCCGCCCAGGAAACTAAGCCACCATTCTTGTTAGACTTGTCCAACCCAGGAGGGACAATGCAGGGCCCTGGATCTCCATGTAGTGTCCTCTGCAGGGTGCGACCAGCACCATGGGCACCTCACGGACTCTGCTGCTTCTGGGTAAGCTCCCTGGGCACCCTCCTCTCCCCCGACACCCCCTCCCCGGCAGCCTCTCAAAACGCTCTCCCCTTCCTCCTCTGCAGCCTTCCAAGCAGGGCTCCTCGCCATCCTGCCCACCTCCAGATCTCAGCAACCATTAGCCTTCTCCTCAGACTCAGTGGGCTCCTCCCAGGACTTGGGTTTGAAGGTCTCCTCCACCCAGCCCCCAAACTGGAACTTTCCAGATCAGCCTCCAGATTCAAAAGCATCTGCTGGAATCTCTGATTCCAACCAGTTTCCGGAGGAGCCAAAGTCAAGCCATGTGTCTGGGCCCCTCTGGACCAATGTGTCTTTTGGGGAACAGCGTCTGAACCCTGCTCTCTCCTCTGAAATCCCTGCCTCCAAAGTGTTTCCGGATGACTTGGATTCTCCAGTTCCTGCCCGAGACCCTGGGCCTCCCTTCTCTGCCAGGACCCCACCTTCACACATTTCCACTCGAGTCCCAGTTACTAAAGTACCCACAAAGGCTCCGGGTTCAAAGCTACCTCCGGAGAATCACAACCTGGAATTTTCTGCCCAGGGCCCTGAATCCAAAGTTTCTTTTGAGACTCACCAAGCTGCAAACTTCCCCCAGCAGGTGGGGGGACCCCTGGCTGTGCTAGTGGGAACCACCATCCGGCTCCCCCTGACTCCAGTCCCCAGTCTTGGCCCTCCTGCCCCTCTGGTAGTCTGGCGGAGGGGCTCCAAGGTGTTGGCAGCTGGGGGCCTGGGGCCAGGGGCTCCATTGATCAGTCTGGACCCAGTGAACCAAGCCCGCCTGCGATTTGATCAGACCCGAGGGAGTCTGGAACTCATCTCCGCCCGGCTGGATGATGGAGGGATCTACACGGTTGAGATCATCCGGGGAGGAGTGTCCCAGCAGATTCGGGAGTTCACGGTGGGTGTGTATGGTAAGTGCTTTGTGAGGTCCAGGAGCCAGGCTGCAGAGGCTGCTCTCTGTTCACAGATCTCTGGCAGGTCATTGTGCTGAGTACTTCCTTCCCAGAGGTAGGGGCCTGGGACTGTGGGCAGGAGCCAAGACAGGGCTAGGACCCCTGGATCTGAGGGAAGAGGCTGGGGTCTGGACCCCTGGGTCTGAGAGGGGAGGGCTGGAGTCTGGACCCCTGGGTCTGAGAGGGGAGGGCTGGGGTCTGGACTCCTGGGTCTGAGAGGGGAGGGCTGGGGTCTGGACCCTGAGTCTGAGGGAGAAGACTGGGGTTTGGACCCCTGGGTCTGAGGGAGAAGACTGGGGTCTGGACCCCTGGGTCTGAGGGAGGAGGCTGGGGTCTGGACTCCTGGGTCTGAGGGAGGAGGCTGGGGTCTGGACCCTGGGTCTGAGGGAGGAGGCTGGGGTCTGGACCCCTGGGTCTGAGGGAGGAGGGCTGAGAGGAGGAGAGGAGAGGGGTAGGCCCCCATTACTGGCACAAAGGAACGTTCCAGGGAGGGCGTTTTGTTGTCCCGACTCCCGGACTCATCAGCTCCTGCTCCCCATCTCCAGACCCCCTACCCCAGCTGTCGGTGCAGCCCAAGGCTCCAGAGACAGAGGAGGGGGCGGCAGAGCTGCGGCTGCGGTGCGTGGGGTGGAATCCGGGTAGCGGAGAGCTGAGCTGGAGCAGGGACGGCCGTGCCCTGGAGGGCCCGGACCTTGGCGCACAGCCACCTCGAGTCCGCGTCCAAGGGGATCAGCTGCTCATCTTGCGTCCTGCACGCGGCGATCAAGCCCGGTACACCTGCCGCGTCCGCAGCCCCTTCGGCCACAGCGAGGCTGCAGCGGACGTCAGCGTCTTCTGTGAGTTGGGGTTGGGGGTCCTGGGGGGCACTAAGTCTTTTTTAAAAATACATATTTTTATTTTGTGTGTATGTGTTTTACCTGCATGTGTGTAAGGGCACCCATGCCGTGTTAGCTGCCATGTGGGTGCTGGGATTCGAACCCGAGTCCTCTGCAAGAGCATCCAGGGCTCTAACCGCTGAGCACCCCTCCGGCCCCGGGATTCGAGTCTGGAGTCCCTGGGGAGAAGGGGGCTTGAGGCCCAGGGTCCGTGACAGTCTCCCGCCCCCCAGACGGCCCGGACCCGCCGGTCATCAGGGTGTCCTCGGATCGTGACGCCGACCCTGCGCTCTACGTCACCGCGGGCAGCAACGTGACGTTGCAGTGCAGCGCCCCCTCGCGGCCGCCGGCCGACATCGCCTGGAGCCTGGCGGACCCCGCCGAGGTCGCAGTGCCCGCAGGGCCGCGCCTTCTGCTGCCTGCCGTGGGTCCGGGCCACGCGGGCGCCTACGCTTGCCTCGCCGCCAACCCGCGCACCGGACGCCGGCGCCGCTCGGTGCTAGACCTCACCGTGGCGGGTAAGAGCAGCCCGGGTCGGACCGCAAGGAGCTGAGCGCGCAAGAGGCGGGCGTGGCTGACGGAGGGGCGGAGCCAGAGCTGAGCTCAGGTGGTGGGCGTGGCCACAGGGCGGAGTCAGCCGGCTTGCTGGCGATGGGCGGGCGTGGCTTCTAGGAAGGGCGTGGCCAGTTGTGTTGTGGGCGTGGCCATCAAGTAAGGGGCGGAGCCCGCGTGGAGCCGCACTTGTGGGGGCGTGGCTGTCCGGGCCATGGCGGAGCCAGCAAGGAAGGGAGCATGGGGGAGGTGGGCGTGGCTGCAGGGGCGTGGAATCAGAGCCGAGCAAGCAGGGGTGGGCGTGGCTGCGGGAGGGAAGGAGCCAGTAAGGAAGCATGTGATCATCCGTGGGTGGGGCGGAGTCAGCTGGTGAGGCGTAGGGACAGACATCTGTGATGGGCGGAACGGAGGGCGGCCTGCCGGGAGGAGGGACACCTGCCTGTAGGTGGGCGTGTGTGGTGGGCGTGCCCCGCTAGGAGTGGGCGGGGCTAGCAAAGGGACACCTGTGGATGAGGCGGGCTGGATGGGGCTGGGAATTGCAGATGGAGGGGAGGAGGGTGCTGAGAAGGGTCAGAGACTCGAGGAGAGGGGCAGGGCCACCCAGGCCCCAGCAGAAAATCTGTCTCTCCACCCTTGCAGATTTGCCCCCCGGGTCCCCACAGTGCTCCGTGGAGGGGGGTCCCGCGGACCGCAGCCTCCGCTTCCGCTGCTCGTGGCCCGGGGGGAGCCCTGCCGCCTCCCTGCGGTTCCAGGGTCTCCCGGAAGGCGTGCGCGCAGGCCCGGTGCCCTCTGCTCTCCAGGTGGCCGTCCCTGCTCGCCCTGAGCTCAGCGGAGTCTCTGTCACCTGCCTGGCCCAACACCTGGTGGCCACACGCACCTGCACGGTCACCCTAGGTAGGGGGCTGGGCTTCCTCGCCCTTTGTAGGGGAGCATGGCGACTTTTTCTTGGGTTCTCTGGGGTTTGGGGAAACGACAGGGGCGCTTCTTTTATGTGTATGACTGTTTAACCTGCATGTGTAAGTGCGCCACCTGCAGTGCACACGGAGGACAGAAGAGGGTGTTGGATCCCCTGGAATTGGAGTTACAGAGGGTTGTTAGCGCCATGTGGGTGCTGGGAACCGAACCCGGGTCCTCTGCAAGGGCAGCTGGTGCTCTAACTGATGAGCCATCTCTCCAGCCCCTTTTCCTCTCTCTTAACTGACCTTCTCTCCCCAATAGAACCGCCCCGGGAGGTGCTGCTCCACCCGCTGGTGGAGGAGACACAACCAGGGGAGGTGGAGGTGGTGCTGGAGGCTGCTGGCTGTCCTCCTCCCTCAAGAGCATCCTGGGCCCGGGAAGGGCGGCCCCTGGCTCCAGGAGGTGGAGGTCGGCTTCGGCTTAGCCAGGATGGTCGGAAGCTGGTCATCAGTAACTTCAGCCTGGACTGGGACCTGGGCAACTATTCTGTGCTGTGCAGTGGTGCACTGGGTGCTGGGGGCAACCAAATTGCCCTCACCGGTAAGGCCCAACTGTACCAAGATGCCAGATGTTGAGAACTCAGCCTCCTTCCAAAGACCCAGGGGTGCAGACCCCAGTCCTCCTCCCTCACACCCAGAAGTCCAAACCCCATTCCCCTCCCTCAGACCCAGGGGTCCAGATCCCAGCCTCCTCCCTCAGACCCAGGGGTCCAGACCCCAGCCTCCTATCTCAGACCCAAGAATCTGGACTCCGACCTCCTGCCTGTCCCCTCCAGATCCTGAGCACCCCCCTTCCTTCCCAGGACCTTCAATTTCCTCCTGGAGGCTGCAGAGAGCCCGAGATACTGTGGTGCTCACCTGGGATGTGGAGCGTGGCACTCTCCTCACTGGCTTTCATATCCAGGCACGGACAGACAACTCTGACCTGGGCAGAGTCTCCATGAGCAGAGACTGGGTCTCCCTCCTCATCCTCGGCCCTCAGGAACGGTCAGCCGTGGTGCCCCTCCCTCCCGGGAATGCTGGGACCTGGGCCTTTCGCATCCTGCCCATCCTGGGGTCCCTGCCAGGGACTCCATCCCAAAGCCGGGTCTACCAGGCAGGTAAGTTGTGCTGTGCTGCAGTCACCTGGACTTCCTCTTAGCACCTGACTGACCATTCAGTCCTAGCCTTTAACTCAGACTCTCCTGTTAGTGTTTGGTGTTCCTGTGACAGTGTGGTCAGTGTCTGGTGTTCCTGTGACAGTGTGGTCAGTGTCTGGTGTTCCTGTGACCATGTTGTCAGTGTCTGGTGTTCCTGTGACAGTGTGGTCAGTGTCTGGTGTTCCTGTGACAGTGTTGTCAGTGTCTGGTGTTCCTGTGACAGTGTGGTCAGTGTCTGGTGTTCCTGTGACCATGTTGTCAGTGTCTGGTGTTCCTGTGACAGTGTGGTCAGTGTCTGGTGTTCCTGTGACAGTGTGGTCAGTGTCTGGCGCTCCTGTGACAGTGTTGTCAGTGTCTGGTGCTCCTGTGACAGTGTGGTCAGTGTCTGGTGCTCCTGTGACAGTGGCCCCTGACCTGAATTGCTTGAAACGTTAGGCTTCTATTCTCTCTTTAAAATGTTAAAACAGTGTTTCATTTATTCTTACTTTATGTGTTTGGGTGTTTTGCCAGTATATATGTATGTGCACCTTGTGTGTGCAGTTCCCACAGAAACCAGGAGTGGGCATCAGAGTCTGTGGAACTGGAGTTACAGGAAATTGTGAGCTGCCCTGCAGGTGCTGGGAACTGAATCTGGGTTCTCTGAAAGAACAGCCAGTGCTCTTTACCACGAGCCAGCTCTCTAGACCTAAATTTTTTTTTAATTAAATTTATTTGTTCATTAGTGTGGGTGTGAGTGTGCCATGGTGTGCATGTGGACATTAGATGACAGCTTGTGGGAATTAGTTCTCTCCAGCTGTAAAGTGAGACCCAGGGTTTGAACACAGTTGTCAGCTTGGAGACAAGAGCCATCCCACTGGTCCTTTTCTGTATGGATTTTTAAAACATTGTGTATTTATTTATTTGTGTGTGTGTGTCTGTGTGTGTCTGTGTGTCTGTGTGTGTGTGTTGGTCAGAGGACAACCTGTGGGAATCAGTTTCCTCATTCCATCATATGGGTCCCAGAGATTGACTTCAGGTTTTCAGGCTTGGCAGCAAGTGCCTTTAGTGTGCTGGTCTGGAGCTTACTATGGATGTCAGAGTGCACTTGAACTCTGGGCCGTTTTCCTGTGACTCAGGAAATCACCTGGGATTATAGTTGTGTGCCACCATGCCTGGCTATGATTTATTTTGAAATTTTATTTATTATTATTTGATATTTTTGACACAGGGTCTCTCTGTAGCTCTAACTGGCCTAGAACTTACTATGTGGACCAGGCTGGCCTCGAACTCACAGATTCTCCTGCCTCTGCCTCCCGAGTGGCAAGTGCCTCTACCTGCCGAGCCGTCATGCCAGCCAGCCCCTACAATTTATTCTGAAACTGGGCATCCTAGACTGACCAAGCTGCCCTTGAACTCTGTTAGCCAGGCAGGCCAGCATCTACTTTCTTTGGAGCTGATCTTTCTGCCTTGGCTTCCAGAATGCTAGGATGCTAGACAAATCTATCACGTGGGGCCTCTGAGTATTTCTACTGTGACATTTTTTCCTTCTTACCACAAACTGCAGTTGTGATGTCCGTTGTGCCTTGATGTCTGAGTTGAGGTCACTGGCCATGCTCCAGAAGGATAAATTGGGTGCAGTAAACGTGGGTGTAGCCCTGGATCCCACTCCTTTCTCTCTGTGTATCTTCCAGGGTCTGCCCTGAGCCCCGGAGCCATCGCTGGCATCGTCCTTGGCTCCCTGCTGGGCTTGGTGCTGCTGGCTGGCCTTCTCCTCCTGTGTATCTGCTGCCTGAGGCAGTTCCCTGGTGAGTGATACCAACTGAGAGGTTTCCTAGCCCAAGGCCCAGCATACCAGTCAGTGCTGTCTTAAACCCTCCAGCCCCATCACCCTCTGGGACCAGTTTCTCTTGTGGTTGTCTGGGGCTGCCTGTTCAAGCAACTAATCACGTGCTTCTCTTCATCCTCTCTTAGGAAGGACTTTTGAGAAAAAGCAGCTTCCCCTAACCTTGGCTCCTATGGTCACCATGCCAGGAAAGAAGATGCAGAGCCTGACCCCTGTGCAAACCCCACACCCGCTGCCCATCAAAAGCCAGCTACAGAAACCAAGTCTGTCCAAGGCCCAACAAGTGAGTATGGGTGTCCCCCACTCCAGGACAGCTAGCTTCCTACTTAGGGGAAGGGGGTATTCCCATGTCACAAAGGTTGATAAAACTTACTCCATTTATTGGTTTATTTTGCAACATGGAGTCACTGTATCCCAGATTACATCCTGCCTCTGCCTCTAGAGTGCTGGGATTACAAATGTTCATTAGCCACTGTGTTAGGTTTATGCAGTACTAAGGATAGCACTTGGGGCCCCATGCATGCCAGGCATGCCCACTACCAACTGAGCTATAGCCCCCCCCCCACTACCAGGCTTTAACATCAGAAAGTTGAAAAGGACTTCCCACCCAATTCATGTATATTAAAAGAAGAGTGAATTCCGGTTTCTTTTCGAAAGGAGAGTGTGATGGGGCCTTCTTTGTTCATAAGAATTGGTACAGACTCCATTTTTAAACTCTGAAGTGGATGGGATTTCCCTGCTTTCCCATGACAGTTGGGCCATCCAGCATCTCAGTTTCCCCCAAAGCTGACCAGGCATTCTTCATTTGCAGGGGGAGCCGGAAATGATGCTGTAATCATAACACTTAGGAGGCTGAGGCAGGAGGATCACTCTAAGTACAAGATCGGCCCAGGCTATAGTGAGTTCCTGGCCTCAGAAAAGCAGATGGCAGACAGACAGATAAGCAAAAAGCTAGATCAAAGGGAAAGTAATATTTAAAAAGATTAATAAATAAATCATTTTTTTAAAAAACAGGGTCAGGTGCAGTGTTGCACACCTTTAATCCCTGAGCTCAGGAGGGAGGGCAGGTGGATTTTTGCCAGGGCTACATAGTGAAACTGTCTGATTAAACAAAACAAACAACACCTAGAAATAACTCAGCTCGCTTCTGAAAGCTTTGGACTGTCGCTGGAAGGATAGATTGGGGATGTCATCTCATACTTAGGCCGCCCCCTGAGATCACCGCCTACCCTACCTCTCTTCCAGGTCATCAGCCCCAGTCCAGGTGGGGGCCAACGAGCTGTTCGGACAGCCACTCAGGTGTGACCAGAGCTGGTGGCCCACTCTGTGCGAGGTGTTTTGGGGTGAAACTTTCTGTTTTGTTCCAGAAGCACACAGGGCCTGCTGTGATGAAGGGCTGGACCCTGAGGGTGGGACTTCGGGTCTCACACTTGTGTCAGAAGAAGCTGGTATGCTGTTTACATACCTGAGGCCCTCAATGTGACTCCGGGGTCTAGAAAAACCACTGACCTCAGTGTCTTCAACATGCAGGGTTTGCTCAGACCTAGAGGGGAGCCTGGCCACAACCTCTAAAAAGGTCTCCTACCCTCTCCTGCTTCCTCCAGGCCACACCCCTCCACTTCCAGACTCTACCTACAAACACATCAGACCGTGCCTGTACCCAAACCCCACTCCCCACCTCCTGTCTCAGACTCCCCGGCTGGTCTTGAACTCATGATTTTCCTGCCTCAGTCTCCCAAGCGCTTAGATTACAGATTTGTGCCACCACACCCAGCTTTTTCTTTGTTTTGTTTTGTGTTGTTTGAGACAGGGTCTCACTATGTAGCCCTGGTTGGCCTCAAATTTCTCATTCCTCCTGCCTTGGTGTCCTGAGTGCTAGGATTACAGGCATGTGCCATCATCCCCAGATTCCCAAGTACTGGGATTACAAGTATGTAACTCAGGTTCCTGAGTGCAGGGGTGACAGGCTCATACCACAATGCCTGGCTCCTCTTCTCTTTAACTCCTTCTGTGGCTGCAGGCTGGTGTTGACATTATTCAAGGCCTGTATTTTAACCTTGAAGACCTGTGGTTTGGCCCCATCAGCCTCTGTGACTCCCCTTCCCAAGCTACTCCCCCAGCCAGCTTTCTGCCAGCCACATTTCTTTTTCTCCAGCTCTTTGCCCCTAGAGTTCCTGCTGCCTGGACACTTCTCTTTCCTCTATGCCCGTTCATCATCGTTGTAGCCATTACCGCCACAGAAGGGCTTTTCCCTTCCCCCTCCTTTGAGCATGAGTTAAATCCCTGGATGCTCTCTTCTTTATGTAAGTGTAAAAGGGCTTCTGTCGTGCCCAGCCACACACGTCTTTAATTCCATCACTCTGGAGGCAGAGGCAGGCAGATCGCTGAGTTCAAGGTTAGCCTTGTCTCCATAGTGAATCTAGGCCAGCTGGGGCTACAGGGAGACCCTGTCTCAAAAAGACCAAAAATAAATAATAAATAAATAAATAAAGTAAAATAAAAAAGGCTCCTGTCAATCAGGTTCCCTCTCTGAACTGATCGTCATGAAGGCACAAATCACACTGTCATCTCTGCACTTAGCCTGGCACATAGCAGGTACTCAATAATCACTTGTGGACTGATCTGCCGTTTTGGTGTCTGTAAAGGGTTGGGAGTCGCTGCTCTCCTCAACTGGGGTTCTCACTGAGAGTTTAGGGGACAACAGTGACGATCCTTCTAGTTGCAAGTAGCAGTGTGAAAAATCAAGACACAGTGGAGACAGGCTTATAGTCTCAGCATATGCGGGGTTAAGGTAGGAGGGTCATAAGTTCAAAGCCAGCCTGAACTCCATAGGAAGACCCTGTCTCAAAACACCAAGGGCTTAGGGATGTGGCTTCGTAGTAGAACTGCTTGCTTAGGACCCCCAGTGAGGGCCTGGGGTGTGGCTCAGGGGTGGAGCCTAGGATTCCCCAGTGAGGGGCTGGGGTGTGGCTCCATGGTAGAGCCCCTGCCTAGGATCTCCCAGTGAGGGGCTGGGGTGTGGTTCCATGGTGGAGCCCCTGCCTAGGATCCCCCAGTGAGGGGCTGGGGTGTGGCTCAGTGGTAGAGCCCCTGCCTAGAATCCCCAGTGAGGGGCTGGGGTGTGGCTCCATGGTAGAGCCCCTGCCTAGAATCCCCAGTGAGGGGCTGGGGTGTGGCTCAGGGGTAGAATACTTGCCTAGCATATGAGAGGGGCTCTAGGGGAGGGAGGTGAGGTGCCTAGGATCCCCAGTGAGGGGCTGGGGTGTGGCTCAGGGGTAGAGCCCCTGCCTAGAATGTACAGTACCCTTGGTTCAATCCCTATTCAAAAAAAGGAGAAGAAAATCAGGATTATTTTTTATGTCTTTTTCGTCACTGTCAATGAAAACCCAACACAAATTGGATTATACAAAAACAGGGGACTTTGTTGCTTGTGTGAGGATGGTGTCAGGTGGTTTTTTTGATCCAGTCGCTCTAATGATTCGTTACAGATTGCAATCTAACCCTGCCTCTGGCTTTCCTGGGCATTTCTGTCCGTCTCCAGCTCTCATGCTGTCTTCCTCATCATTCAACCGTCAGAGACCCAGTTCTCTCCTCATGATGTGTGACAAGCCCCCTTGACCAGCATAAAGGCCTTCCTTCCTAGATTAGGCACCTTTTTTTTATTAGCATTACTTGGTCACATGCCCACCTCTGAGCCATTCACAGATGGGATCTGCTGAGTGGTTTAAGTTTAAGGCACTCAGAGCCCACCTCCCTAAAGGGTCAGTTCCAAACCTGGGTAGATATGATGCTGGGGATTGGCCACCAAATAGCCATAGCCCCTTGCCCTCTATTGACCCGAATCCTTCATGATATAGGTCCAGAGACAGGGACTTTGGAAAAAGGCGTTTATTGGTGTAGTGGTCTCAACACTCCCCATGAATCGGAACACACGGCCCCCAGGGCCCCCCGCCCTCCTCCCCCACAGCCCTCCCCCTCCCCTCCCCATCCCGGACCCTGGGAATGGAAGACAATGTGGGATGGGGCCCACGCCCCCGTCTGAGGTACAGTCACTGCCCCTGCCCCCCTCTGCCCTGTCTCCACCAGGCTCTGAGTGGTGTGGTTTGGGGTGGGTAGTTATCGAAGTCAGGGTTGGTAGCATGGTGCCTCTGGCTGGGCTCAGGGTATCTGTGTGTCTCCTCTCCTCCCCCACCCTGTGAGGTGTGGTATATCAGGGCAAGTGGGGTGCCTGCCACACTCAGAACCTCCTTTGCTAATTACAGTGACCCTCTTTGGGATCACTGCTGGTCACAGACTATGGGACAGTTGGAGCCAGGAGCTATTGCTGGTCGCAGTCGCTGGTGTGTGGGTGTGTGTGTGTCTGAGTGTGTGGGAGGGCGGTCACAGCAGCCTTTAGAGGTACAGTGGGTAGAGAGGCCAGGGAGTGGGTGGCCAGGAAGCCGCAGCTGGTGGGTGCCACTGTGGCCAAGGGGGATGGGGGTGGGGTGGGGCAAAGCACTGAGACAGACAGGTGACAAGTGCCACCAGCCTGACAATTTAATGGAAGCACCGATTGGCCCCCCGAGGGGGCCAGAAAGTCCAGGGTTGGGGAAAGGCAGGGCTAGGGAGGAAGGTTTCAGGCCGTAGAGCCAGTGATGAGGGCTTCTGGCTACAGGCAGCTGGTGGTAGGGCAGGCAGGAAGGAGCCACGATGGAGAGCCCCACCTATTTATAAAGGCTGAGTGACACCTGACACCCACCCCACCTGCCCCCATCCAGGAGACACCTCTTCAATAGGAAGGAGAGGGGTAGGTGTTCGTGCATATTATGGGAAGGTGGAAAGCAGGCAGTCATCCACTGAGAAGCCCCCATACCTACCTCCAGCCAGAGGAAGAGAGGCAGCGGGGATGGGCAGGGGCTGTGGGGAGGGGCCGTGGGGAGGAGGGAAGCCTCCTGGTCCCCTCTCCCAACACACCCTTACACACATACACAACATGCAGACGCACACTCATACACCCACCCACACACACGAGCCAGTTGACAGCCTGAGCTAAGAGAGGGGTGTGGGGTGGCCGGGGGTGGGTCACAATCAGAAACGTGAACAGGGTGGCGAGAATGGCTGTAGAAAGATGCATAATTTTGCGTTATCCCTCACAGTGATGGGTTCTCTAAAGATCTTCCTCCTCCTCCACCTCCTCTTCCTCCTCCTCTTCCTCAGTGGCTGAGAGCTCTTCTGTCTCCCTGGAGACCCACAGCACTTGCTCCCCCTTTTCTCTTGCTCTTGGCCCGAGGCCCCCTTCAGAGGGAGGTGCACTGAACTGGGTGACCCCTACATTCTCCACCACAGCCAGCCCAGGGCGGTGAGGAGGGTCAGGGGCCCCGGGGGCCTCGGAGCTGAGTTCTCCAGGGATCCTGGACCTGAGGAAGAAAAGAAAGTCACAGGGAGAGGCTGGGATGGGGAAGCCCCGTTCGTCTCTCCCCATGGTCTCGTCTCATCTCTGAGGATCTCTGTGAGCTGAACTCCCTGGGACTTTGGCTCTCTGTGTCCACCTGCTGTTCGGGTTTGGGTCTCAGTACCTTGGCAGGTCTTCCCACTCCCTTTGTAACGCTTAGCTCTGGACCCTCTGTCAGCATTCCTACCAGTCACCCCCTTAGCACACCTAAACCGCGGGACTCTGTTTCCATCATGTTTGCTTTGCACATGCCAGGCAGGGGCTCTACCCTGAGCCACACCACAGCCCCTCACTGGGGATCCTAGGCAGGGCTCTACCCTGAGCCACACCACAGCCCCTCACTGGGGATCCTAGGCAGGGGCTCTACCACTGAGCCACACCCCAGCCCCTCACTGGGGGATCCTAGGCAGGGGCTCCACTGCTGAGCCGCACCCCAGCCCCTCACTGGGGGATTCCAGGCAGGGGCTCCACTGCTGAGCCGCACCCCAGCTCCTCACTGGGGGACTCTAGGCAGGGGGTCTACCCCTGAGCCACACTCCAGCCCCTCACTGGGAATCCTAGGCAGGAACTCTACCACTGAGCCACACCCCAGCCCCTCACTGGGAATCCTAGGCAGGGGCTCTACCACTGAGCCACACCCCAGCCCCTCACTGGGAATCCTAGGCAGGGGCTCTACCACTGAGCCACACCCCAGCCCCTCACTGGGAATCCTAGGCAGGGGCTCTACCACTGAGCCACACCCCAGCCCCTCACTGGGAATCCTAGGCAGGGGCTCTACCACTGAGCCACACCCCAGCCCCTCACTGGGAATCCTAGGCAGGGGCTCTACCACTGAGCCACACCCCAGCCCCTCACTGGGGGATCCTAGGCAGGGGCTCCACCATGGAGCCACACCCCCAGATGTTGTCCAACAGGCCCCATTTAAGGGGGGTGGGTATCAAACCCAAGGCTTCGTGCGTGCTAGATAAACACTTTACCAACTGAAGTTGCATCTCGAGCCCGTGTAGATCGGTTTCTAGTTCTGTGGCATTTCTTGGGGTCTTCTAAATTCTGGGCCAGTCAGGGGCTATCCCTACATCTCTGCCTCTCTGTCCTGGGCCCTCCTGATGGTCAGACACCACGTCCCTGTCCCCACCCCGCCGGCCGGCGCAGACGCACGCAGGAGTCGCATGGAGGCGCTGGATGCTCCGAGCCGGTTGGCTGCGCGGCAGGTGTAGTTGCCGTAGTGTCGGGCGCTCACGTTGGCGAAGAGCAGCATGGAGCGGGTGCGCTCAGTCTGCACCTTCAGGCCCTCCGCCGAGCCGCTGCTCAGCCTGCGAGAATGCGGATCAGGGTAGTCTCCGTGGCCCCACCCACGCGTTGTGGCTCAGTGCCTCGTCCCCCCCAACACTCCGGCCGGACCCCTGGCATCCCCAGGGAACCCCTCTCCAGACACCAGGGACCCTCTGGCGCACTCCAGTGTGCACTCCTGATCCCGAGGGGCTCCCAAATGCAGCCCTGGTGCTCAGTTTAACTTGGCCCCTCTAGATACTCAGCATCGTCCTCCGACTACCCCCCCCCGTCTCCCAGGGGACCCTAGACACTCAGCATCGACCTCTG